TTTAAGTACATTTAGGAGGAAGCCTTATGCACACAAATAAAGCAATAATAGTAGTACTGTCCTTTTTTCAGTTGCAGGACCTGTCTCTCAAATTCAAAATATTGATCTTCCGATATGGAGCACTCATTCAGAGTGAAGTTTGATAGACGATTATGTAAAGGATTAGCAATCATTGATCAGAAAACCACTCCTGTCTGCTAAGCCTCAGTAGCCAGAGTTACTACTCGTGTTAGGTGAGATGTAGCAAACGTGTGGTGAAATAGCTGAGATGCACACAAGTTAGCCTGAACATCATCATTATCAACAAAAAAATATGTGCACGAGGGCTGAGAATCACAACATCATTTAAAGATTTAATTTTTTCTTTTGAAGTTTTTAATTGGACGCGGATACTCAATAGTAAAAAGATGGTGCATCAAGCTAAACTATCCATTACATCATCCGAGATGGAGAAATAAGACGTGTAATTTCTAGCTTCAGTTTTAATTCACCATTTTTAGCCCGTAAGTATTGGTGGGGTTGTCTGAAAACAAAACAAATTTCAGTCCAACAACCAGGTTTTGGAGTAACAAGCCATAGGGGCTTCCAAATAGCTTTGCCAAAAATTAGTATGAAAATCACAATATATGTGTTTCCCTATTTGATGAATAAATTTTTTCCTTTTTTGGGTTCTAGTACAGTAATCTGAGCTATAGTTCATAATGTAACGCTTTGTAAACATTTGGAATTGAGATTCGACATAGAACCTCCTGGAGAAGAAAAGCCCCAAGGCAACAATGAAGAACCGAGAGAGAAGTATATGAGAATATGTTATTTTGATATAAAATGAACATTGGTCTCTAAATGAATCTAACTATTGTGTATATATATTTACAAGTACAACTGGGTTGGGTCGCACCTTTTAAATACGAATAGATCCGCATTTGCTTATTTCTTGTTTGTGGGTTGCCGCTGTTTTGAGATGGGTTGTTGTATGTTGGGCTGTGAATCATCATATTGGGCTCTAACACCCCCCCCCCCCCTCCCCCCCTCCTCCCCTCTCCGGGGCAAGTTGGAAGGGGAACCCATTCCAAGCTTGGAAATAAAGGCCTGCTGTTGAATTTCCGGAAGAGACTTAGTGAAGATATCAGCCGATTGAGAAGTAGTTGAAATGGAATGAAGACTGATGACCCCAGCAGACAGAGCATTGGGCTCAAAATGACAATCCAATTCGATGTGTTTAATCCGTTCATGAAACACGTGGTGTCACACCTCTTTTTTTTCACGCAACTCTGTTACGTGGTTGAGTTAGAAGAGTTTTTCCAATTAAAGTGACGTTTTGAATTATTTGGAGTCGCCACTTGGAATTGAGCTTTGGTGTTCCAAGTCACCTTTTATTTGAATCCCCTTTCAAAATGAAGATTTGACTCTTAATTTATGGTCTACAAAAACAGAAGACTGAGTAAGGAATTCTGTTGACCAAGGGAAATGTGTAAGGCACCCCTCGAGTCCCGTGGTTTTAGCACGGTCGCTTTATTGACTAATATAAGGCTTAAATCATTTTTTTAGCTATTCTTGTATTTTATTGATTATGGCTTATCCATTACCGCTTAATTAATTATTATATTTTATTAATTGTGTTCACCAAGATGAAGAACGCACACAAGGTACTTCATTGAATTTAAATGTTAAACTAAGGTACGAAATGTACACATGGTTATAACATAATTATTTTTAATTTAAAGGCGTCGAGACGCGGGATGCGTACATGACCCTTTTATTATTTAATTGAATCAATCTAAGATTTGTGTATGAACACATGGGCTAATATTTAAAGCCCATTTAAAGTTTTTCTCGTGTATGTAGAGTTCTTTTCCTAAAGTAATTTGAGGTTGTGGGGAGGTCATGATTTATGGATATAAAATTATTTTGAAAATGTATTATTCAAATAACTATTCACACCTTAATCAACCTTAAAATTATTTACAACTTAATAAATTACCAATAATCTACATTGTCTGTTTTATCAGTGATAACACAATTAGTTTTTGTTTTTTGTTTTTTGTTTTATTGAAAAATATAATTTCTTATGGAAAAATGTCGAAGCAAAGTATAAAGTTTGAAGTTTGAAACTAGTGAAAGTTACATACAATAATATTAACTAGTGGAGTTGGAAACAAAGAGTATTGAGACAGAAGGATATGAAAGCATATTCTTGCAAAATCTTTAATATTGTTAAAGAAGTGGTCATTTTGTCATTTATTTGCTTGAAATGGACAAGATGTCTAAAAGAGTGATGAATTTATACTTTTTGTCGAATAATTTTGATCTGGTTTTGCTTATGGTGCTTCTGGGGGAATTAATCCTATGTTTTTTTCTTGTAGTTTTTTGCCTCAGCAAGATTTATCTATCAATTCGACCTCCATAATGGGACACTGAAATTAATTTGATGAACAATAACATGTAACTTGAATATTAAGAGATGAGAAGCTTTGATCCATTATAAAAAACGAGCTAGCTTTAATCTTATTTTTTATATAGGCCACAATACTTAAATTATTCCACCCAAAATAAGTCATCCAATAAACTTATAACAAACACATCTTGACAAAGAACTCCTAAAGCCCGAATTTTTAGATTTTAGAAATCAGACAAAATTCCATGATCGTATCATACTTTTTTTTTTTGATCCTATCATACTTTGAACAAAAGTATTTGTGTCTTAAGTCACTTTAACACGGATTCCTAAAAGATCTAAACTTAACTATTAATGAAAATATTATTTTAGGCCATGGAGTAAAAATTTGGTAATCAAATTTAACTTGAACCAACACCCAAACAAATATTCAGTTTATTCTAGTTCGAAAAAAATACTCAAAACAACTCAAAGATACAGAAATAGAAATAAAAAGATGAGGTCAAAATTAATCAGAACCAACAAAACTATTTTTCATGTTGATGATGAAAATTCGAACATTACCTTTTTTTATGAAGCTTTTTACAATAAAATCACAGGCACAGTCTATTGATTTCCAAAGTTAGCAATGCTAACTTTCTAGAACCTCGAACTCCATCTTTAAATTCTCTTTCTTTCTTACTTGCACAGGATTAGCTTGATTTGCCGAAAAAATCCAAACAAATAGAACTTGCACGTCTTTGCAAAATTTCAAACAAAAACTACCTTGGATATTGTTTACGCACACATGAATGACAAAGGTATACGCACGCCTAATACCAGCTCTTGTACGGAAAAGAGAAATTCAATAAGAACACACATGTGACTTTTTTTTTGCCAATGCGTAAAAACAGTTTTATCTTTTCTTTCCCTTTTTCATTTGCCTCTGTCCGCTCCCTCTTCTATAATGGGATAGTGTTATATATAGTGTGTAGATGATGGAGGGGGATAGTCGGGATATGGAGAGGATGTGAAGGGTTACGTGAGAAGTGAGGGGTTTGAGGGGAATGTGGCGTAATGGGGGTGTTACTTTTTAGTATTTATTATATATATACTAACCGACTTACTTTTAGACTTAAAAAAATTATATAAGTAAGAGAACGCAATATTTATACTATAGTTTAAATTACCAGCCTACCATGATCCTGGTGTAAATGGTATCAGAGCCTAGGAACTTTCATGGTAAATATGTAATAGATATGAAAGATTCAACATAGATATGAAGCTTTTGGAATGGATCTGGGAGAAACAAGTACTAAAGGTACTAGACTTGAAGAGGTAGATATACCTCAAAACCTTGATTTATTAAATAGATGGACAATTCCTAAAGTTTCTATAAAAAACCATTTATGATTATGGTTGGTTTGATAAACTTTCTTCTAAACAATTGATAAAAACGACTGAGCAGTCGTTAGCTTTAAATTCGTCTGAATAGACTATTCGTTTGTTGAACAAACATGATATAGATTTATATAAACATCATTACCAGTATCTGCATATTGGTATGATTCAAATTGCATTTAAACCTTTAACCCTTAAAGGATTATCAGAGACCTTTTTAGCAGCTCTTAGAGATGCTAGAAATCTGAACTTCAGACAGTCTCTGATGGGNCCGGTTCTCTTGATAAAAAACTTGATGATTTGACTATTTTAACAAAAAAAATGGGTACTAAGAAAGGACCAACTGATATTGCCTCCACTTCAGGAAGTAAAACAGTTGATCAAGCTATTCCTACTCATATTC